TTGCTATTAATCTTTAAGCAACGTGCATCGAATGCTATCGTTATTTGGATCCGATCTAACCCGCTTTATTCCAACTCTTGGGCCATTTTCTTAAAAAAGTTGTGGGTCTTTTTTCATGTTGGATTTTTTTAACACTCTAGACCCATTACCATAGCCCATACGCCTACTAAGGTTAAAACCTTTCCCCTCAACTTTAGTATAGAAAGCAAACCAAAATGGCAGCAACCCTAACTCTGATCTAAGCTCCCCCGCATCCTTGATGCGACGATGGCACTGCTTGACCTTAGCTTACTATTTTGGCGCCAACATTTGCCCAATTGAAAATCTCGATTTCGAGTACGATTTTAATTTTGCTACTCTTTCTAATTTTTTGTCAAAGTTTTGTTGGTTGTTATTTGAGGTTCTTGATTTAGAATTTGTTTGGAACTCTATATTTTATCTACGTTTTTCTGTAGGGTGTCATATTTATGTATATATTTGTTATAGATTGTCTTCTATGCTGGATAATTCATCCTATTTGTGATTTTTTTATTTATTGTTTCATTTTTACATTTACAATTTTTAGAAAAAGGAATTTAAGCTTTTGTGGTTCAATTGGTGCTTGTGACTTCTTGTTGTCAATACCCGGCAAACTGTCACTGGTTGCCATTGCTGACTGTGATCAGCATTGCTTTTACTTTTTTATTTTTAGTTCATTTTGATGCCATTTTAGTTTAGAACTTAGCCTTTTAATATGTGTTGATATATCGATTAATGATTTAGTAAGTGAATTGTGATGATTTATTATTTATGAAAATTTGTGAATTTGTGAATTTGTGATTTGTGATAAATAATAAATTGGGTAATTTTTGATTTGTCAATTCATTTTTATTTTTTCTTCTCTTCACATTCTTCTTTCCTGTTAAATTGTCATGGGACCTGGTGTTTACGATATGGGCAAAGTGTTGACTTGTTTCATGGGAAGGTGTGATTTTTGATTGTGAGGATAGTCATAAGTAGCAGAGAATTTACTTTCCTGACGTGTGTGACGAAATTGTTTTTAGGATTCACATGTTGAGGTTAACTCGAGAGTGGGATGAGGTTACTGATGAATGGAAACCTCTGGGAAGGTGAACCCTTTCTTGAATTGATAAAAGCAGTTGGGTCAGATTGATCATTGCTTGTTTCCATAAAGCAAATTTGGTATGATGTGCGGCTGAAGAATGGCTTTGAGAACCCTAAAGATTGGACTTCTTCTGTGCATAATGTTTGGAGAGAATTGGTGTTGCAAGTTTTAGTCGATAACTTCAAGATAACTATTAAAGAATTGAATTCTTCTAGGGACTTAGTAGAGGAAGGACCATTATTGCGGGAATTTCCAAAACCAGCCCTTGATGTGTTCCGAACCAGCACCTTGGAGAATATTTTCTCGGTAATTTGCGCTCAATTGTACCCTTCTAGCCAACAACAGTTTTTTTCTTTTTTTTTTTTGGGGAAGACATTAGTGTTTTTAAATTCGTGTGGTCATGAACAACTTGAACGGTTTATTTAGGAATATAAGTAAATCAACAAAATAAAGGCCCGTCACATGTTGCAAAAGATGCTGACATGTATTGATGTCAATAGCAACACAAAAGGTGAACGTTTGTCGCACGTATACGTTTCATATCTCCTTCTTTGTTATTTAAATTAACCATTTTTCTTCTTGAGATACATAAACGACGTTCTATCCCCTCATTACTTCTTCCTTCAATTCCTTTCCATATTCCAAAATTTTTGATAGAAGGTACAACTGATGTTCATCTTCTTTATAGCTCCTCTCACACTTCTAAATTTTCTTCTAAGACAAACCATTTTTCCACCTCTGTTTCTACCTTCTCCAATGGGGCTTTAAGCTCATCCTTTAGGCTCGAATTGTCCTTTGTTGACATTTTCACTGTAGTTCTCATGCTGTTGGGTTTTGGTATCCAATAAATCCTGAGTTATGATGTTAATGTGGGTAATATATTTCATAGGCCTAGGCTGATGAATGAAATAAGTCTAACAACCAAGTCCATGAGCTCCACTAAGTCCAATTGTATTCTTTCTTGGATGGCTTGAATCTTGACCCGTTTTGTTACTCCTCGAATTCTAGCAACTTGACGCGTTACGAAACATGAATTTTTCAAATAAATAAATAAATTTTCTATAACGAGAAATTCAGTAAAAATTGAATAATCTTTAACAAAGGTAAATTAAATTTAATAAAATATGCAGAACGTTTTGAAATCATAATTTTCAACAAACATTGTTAAAAACTAGTTCTAACAAACAATAAAATTAGAACCAGTTGAAAGTAATAACGAACTCACAATTGAGTTAGAAAGATAATCAAATCTTATTAAAAATTTTAGTGTTTCTAAAAATTAAAGTACTTCATGACCAGGATTCATTGGTCAAATAGCAAATTCATCCACTGCCGTCCAGCAAACTAATTTTTACCTGAAAATTGTAATTAAAGAGGGATAAGTATAACGACTTATACTCAATGAGATGGTTGCTACTCCACATTCAAATCAAACATGAAATTATGAATAAATTCTCTTACGAATATAAAGTAGGAATTATCACACAATGACAAATGATAATTTTAGCAAGCGATGCAAAATAACGTGAAGGCTAAATTGTGCCTTAAAATGTATTATGATTTCTCTGGAAGCAGCCTTGAACTAGAGTAATTAAATTCATACATAATAACGTATTTGAAAAGATGTGGAAAAATCACTCATTGAGTATCTCACTTTATGTAATGAATCGTGTACAACATGCACTTGGAAAGCAAATTGTGGGATCTTATTTTTTTGAATTTCACCTTAGCACTTGGCCGTTTGTGAAATTGAATGAAGGGTAAAAATAAAGTAGAATACTAGAATGTTTTAGGTTTACTATCTTAATAGTTAATATAGAGAAGAATTTTAGAGAGAGAGGATGGACAGGTACAAAATATATTTCAGAAAGAATGTATTGCATAATGCTTGATGGTTTAATGGCATATATATAATATACCAAAATGTGGTGTGGTGTAAACACGTGATAATTAATCACGGTAGTAGTCCAATTAGGAGACATCATGATTGCATATTCATGCACACTTGAAAAAATGGATGAATTGCATGCATAATCATATTTTATTCCAATATTAAAGTCAATGAAAGAATTCATATTCCACATGATTTGCTATGACCAAAATCTGTAAGCTATGATTACGTTTTTTAATCAATTATCTCTTAATTAGATTTTATAATTATTAATAATTAACATATTCAATTCCTATTAAATGTCAAATAAAACATATGCGAATTAACTAAGAAAAATTTGGGATTGTACAACCTACTCTCAAAATAATTTCGTCCTCGAAATTTACCTTGGGTTAGTTGGAAAGTTCGGGATACTTGATTTTTATCTCATTTTCCTTTTCCCAAGTTGCTTCTCTCACTCAATGGTCATGCCATAGGACCTTGATTAAGGGAATTTCCTTATTTCTCAGTACATGAATCTTTCTTTCTAATATCCTCAATGGCATTTCTCCATTAGTTAAATCATGTTGTACATCTAAATTTTGATGGTTGATCACATGATTAAGAAAGTCAATATGATCTAATCAGAATTCACATTTTTTGAATTTGGTGTACAACTTCTCCTTTTGAAGAGTGTTCAATACCACTCTTAACAAATTGCTTATCCTTTGAGTATACCAATATATCGTCAATGAAGACTATAACAAATTGATATAGGTATGGATGAAAGACTCGGTTCATTAAGCCCATAAACACAGCTGGTGCATTGGTTAATCCAAATGGCATCATTGTGAACTCATAGTGCCCATACCGTGTTCTAAATGCTATTTTAGGGATATCAAAATCCTTTATCTTGAGTTGGTGATAACCTGATCTCAAATCTATTTTTGAGAACACCTTTGCACTCTTCAATTGATCAAAAAGATCTTCTATCCTTGGGAGTGGATAGTTGTTCTTTATAGTCAAATGATTAATATCTCTATAATCAATACACATCCTCATTGACCCATCTTTCTTTTGAATAAACAATATTGGCGCTCTACATGGGGATACACTAGGCCGGATGAAACTCTTATCCAATAATTCTTGTAGTTGTATCTTCAAATCCTGTAATTCTTTTGGTGCCATCCTATAAGGAGCCTTAGATATTGGTGTTGCCCCAGGGGTCAAGTCAATTGCGAACTCTACTTGCCTATCAGGTGGTATACCAGGTAAATCTTCAGGAAAAACATCCACGAACTCATTAACCACTGCTACACCTTCTATTTTTCTTTTGGATTGGGGTTTACTATTTATATTCAATAAAAATCCTTGACACGTATTCTTTCTCAACATCTTTTCTGCTTTCATTGCAGATACCAATCGGGGTAGAGTCCCAATTCTAGTTCCAAGGAATTGAAATTTTTCTTCTCCAAGTTTTTGAAATAAAACTTCATTTTTATGGCATACGATAGCTGTATAATTTCTGCCCAACCAGTCCAGACCCAAAATTATATCAAAGTCTTTCATTCCCAAAATGTACAAATCCGTCTTTAGTACTTTTCCTTCAATCTCTAACTTAACACCTTTAACCATTTGATCAGTATTAATGACTTCGCCTGAGGGTCTACTAACTTCTAAAATGTTACTCGTTTTTACGTATCCATTTCCAATCTTTTCCATAAAAATTGTAAAAATAAGTGAATGAGTCGATCCAGAATCCATAAGAACAACAACAGGTATGTCGAATACTGGTAACATACCTGTTATTACGTCTGTGTTTTGATTCTCCTTTTCTCCCATCAAAGCAAATACTCTAGCTTTTCCCTTCTTAAGTTGGTCACCTTTTTTCTTCTTCTCTGGACATTCTCTAAGAAAGTGACCAATTTTACCACAAATGTTGCATACTCCCTTTCCTTGAAGACATTTCCCTAAGTGTCGCTTGTTGCAAATGGAGCACTGAGGAAATGTTTTGGTTGAGTCTAATCAAATCTTTACTTTCTTATTCTGATTACTGCCTTTCTCTTTATCATGACCTTGCCACTTTCTCTTTACAGAAGTCTTAATGCTGGGTTGAGGTTTCTCTTCCAATCCTAAACCATTAGAAATTGCTTGTGCTCGATGTACAACTTTCGCATAAATAGTATACTGCTGGGCTGTTATGATTCCCTTAATCTCTGGCTTTAACCCCATCTCAAACCTTTTAGCCTTTGTCAGCTCAATGTTTACCATGTGCGGAGCGTATCTAGAAAGCTGTTCAAATTTTCTTTCGTACTCTCCAAGTGGCAAACTCCCTTGTGTGAGTTGGAGAAATTCTACCTCCTTTTGATCCCTCAATGACTGGGGAAAATATTTACCCATCAACGACTCCTTGAATTGATCCCATGTGAGATTACGTAGTTGTTCTGCAGTCTTAATACGTGTTTCAGAATCCCACCAATGCCCGGCATCGTTAGTCAACATGAACTTTGCACAAGAAACCTTTTGAGCATCGTTGCAGTTCATGTGCTTGAAGATCCCTTCTAGTCTTCTGAACCACTCCTATGTTGGGAAAGGGTCACCTTTACCATCAAAGGGTGGGGGTTTAAAATGACGAAACTGCTTCACAATTGAGCTCATGGTGTTGGCACTTCCTATTGCATTATTAGGTGCCGTTTGAGCTTGCTGTTTGCTAAGGTCTTGCACTGCGTTTAACAAATCTCTGAACATAGTAGCTTGATCTTGTTGTCGTCGTGGGCATTTAAGTAAAAGTAATTTATCTTAAGAACTATTCAACCATGCTACACTCTTCCTATATGTCATGCTACACTTTCCCTATGTTTAGCCATGTTTGTCGTGTATATTATGCTAAGGCCAAATGTTATGCATTAAGGTTTTTCGTCATATGATAATCATATTATTAATCGTATAATCCGACGCAAAATAATAATATGCTTAATTAACATTCTTCTCTGGAATAAAATGATGTGTAAGAAAAATAGGAACTCATGAGATTATGCAATTAATTTGTACGCATGGAAATATAAAGGATAATATCAATAAAATATTCTTCGTCTTTGCATACCTTAAAAATGTTGGACAGTAGCAGATTGATGAACATTAGATCCACAGATCTCGTAAATTTGTAAATTTTTTTTCGTATAAAAGTTTCTAAAATGAAAGTATTTTCTTAAAATTTGAAGTGGGTTGAAAACATTGTTTTTCGCCTTATTGATTCAAATAATGCGCAACTAAGAAGGCTTCTAGGTGAGGAGGGGGATCACGAGTGGACCGCTTAAATTCCAAGCTTGCCTTAGACAGTTTAGGTCTTTTTGACAAAGCCTTTTAGTTTTACGAATACTCAAATCAAGAAAACTCAAACAATGAACTAGCTTTTTTTTTTTTTTTTCACTATTAAAATGTGTGACCATTAAGAAAAGTTAAAGGGGGTCAAAAGGCTCAAACATTAATATAGGTAAAATATCCGTCATTCTTCTATTATCAATTATGACCATAATTAACATTAAATTCCAAGTTAAAGGGTAGTTTCAACTTTGAAATACTAATATAGAAAGTTGGCTATGATTTCTACAAGACAATTTGGCACAAACATCTTTCAAAGTTGGAGCAATTATTTAGGAAAAAGATCTAAAGCTCCCAAAATCATTTAAGACAAAACAAATACAATTATTATAATAAGACTACCTTCCAATGTAATTTGGACAATAAAATAATTAATTCTTGTCAAGCAAAAACGCATGCATAAATCAAAATTCAATAAGTAAAATTATTATTTAATTAAAATCATTTTGAAAACTGACAAGCTAAATTATCATTTATTTTACATAAAATATTATAAGTACATAAAGCCGTAGTTATAAATTAGTCACAAATTAACACAACTACATGTTATACTCACACACACATGCCTTGTATGTACACATCACATGCTATGTACACATATATTATACAGGCCAACTTCATATATACAACATATATATGCATATGCACACACGCAGTAAAGGAAAGATTGCCTTGGATAGGCTTCCAGGGCACATCTCCAAGTGGTAAAAGGGGAAGGTGGAGAAATCCAGCTTTGCTTGAGGCTGCCGCGTCAAGGGCTCGAATCCTGAAATATGGATTTGGCTCTTGGGTAAGTGCAAGTGTACAAGCAGCTTTCCACCCTATATCCTTGGAGGCATAACTTGCGATTTACCTCCCTCAAGACGCTCCAGGGCAGGGGCGGTGGGGGACCCTTAAGGTTGGGGTTTAACCTTTTTTTTTTTTTTTTTTTTTTTTTAGATTTGCTTTGCTTGCTTGAGGCTGCCGCGTCAAGGGCTCGAATCCTGAAATATGGATTTGGCTCTTGGGTAAGTGCAAGTGTACAAGCAGCTTTCCACCCTATATCCTTGGAGGCATAACTTGCGATTTACCTCCCTCAAGACGCTCCAGGGCAGGGGCGGTGGGGGACCCTTAAGGTTGGGGTTTAACCTTTTTTTTTTTTTTTTTTTTTTATTAAGATTGCCTTGGATAGTATAAAATCATTATTTTAATGTTAATCACTTGAGATATAATGATTGCTTTTGAATTCAACAATTCAATAAAATAATGTACTTCTTCAAATTTGATGCTCACAGGCGAATAGTCGTGAATAGTGACATGCACGATTTTTCTTTCTTTTTTTTTTTTTAGTCTACAGATTCGATTTTAAAACTCTGGACTCTGATACCATTCGGTAACGCCTCGAATTCTAGCAACTCGACGCGTAATTTATCAAAGAAATAAATAATTTTATTATAACGACAAATTCAGTAAAAAATGAATAATCTTTAAAGAAATTCGGTTGCCCTTGAAGTGTGTGAAAAATAGCTCATTTGTGGTTCCTTCATATCCTACCTTTTTGGTGTTTTCTCCTTGCTTTCGCCACAAATCATCACCGTTTCTTGTCTTTTGTGGGTAAGATTGAATAGCAATCGAATTGAATTATATTGGTTGTGGATTGGAGCCGGTTGGTTTGATTGTTGTTAGAGAATGGTACGTTACCGATTTGAAGATCTTTGGAAAGAGCTTCCACAACATTTGGTATAAGAGCTTCAAGATGGTGGTTTTGGCTTGTGAAACATACCAAAAAAGTCCAGAAAGTCGGCTGAAATGAAGGAAAAATCGAATTGAAAAATTGTAAAAAATCAGCCATTGTTTTCGTGTTTTCTGATCAATCCAGAAGGAGTTTGGTGAAACGGAGACCACTGGTGTGACGTGCGATGGTTGATCGTGTGTGGCTGATGACAGCATGTGAAGCCCATAGGCAAAGAGGAGAGGCGGCATGTGAGAATGTGACTTTTTTTGGCTGAGATCTCTTTGGGCTGTTTGTTGCTAACATTATTTCTGACGTTTTGATATTGTTAATTTTCTGTTTTAGGTTGTGCAATAGAATTTGAACAGAGTTTTTCTTTGGATGTTCCAAATTTGATCGTTGTTCGGTAGTTGTTTCAGTCGCTAGAGACTTTAGGACGGATAGTGTGGTCCTAAAGTGATAAATTCATGTCTTTCATAATTTATGGACTCAGATTGGTCCACTCTAGTATATTAGCTTATCTCAATTTATATTTCAACATTAGTGCATTATCGTGTGGGATGACATTTGATTTGTTGTTACTGTGAAGGGGTAACATTGTTTGTGTTGGAAATTTAGGAATTAATTGCCATATTTGAAGTTTTGAATTTTGATTGCAAGTTGTTAATTGATTTTGTGCTTTAATTGTCATATAGTCATTGTGTGAGATTACATAGAGTGAGAATTCGAACTTTTGTTTACATACCTTCGTGTTGCATTGACTATTCTATTAGAATACTTGGACTTGACCAGTTTGAATATTTCCTTGATCTAAGATTGTAAATCTTATGAAATATTGGGAATCTAGAACGGTGTATATTGCGGCCTAAGGATTACTTTGTGTGACCTATCGTTTATTTGGTTGTTTTGCATTTTTAAAAATATTTTCGCACTTTGAAGTTGAAATTTTTAATGAGAAAGAGGATTTTTCAATTTGACAACAAAAGATGAAGGGTATTTTGGTTTAACAAAAAGTTTCAAAAGTCGTAGATTGCAAATTTCCTGTAAACTTAGTAGAAGTACAAAAAAAAGAGTATGATGAACTTATTTACACTTCAATTATTTTACACATGTCTGACACTGTTTTGAGAAAAAAATTGAAAAACTCAATTCTACCAAAGAACTTTGGGAAAAATTGGAGGACTTATACTTGCTTAAGTCCATTCTTAATAAATTGTACTTATTTGAATGACTTTTCAACTTTAAAATAGATCCTTCAAGGATCTTGATGACACTCTAGATGCCTTCAACAAATTGGTTCAAGACATTGTTAATTGTGATGAAAAGGTCTCTGAAAGATTTATCGATATTATCTTGCTTAATTTCATGCCTGATTCATACAGAGAAGTTAAGAATGCAATTAAGTATGGTAAAAATACCTTAACACCCAAGATTGTTATGGACTCACATAGGAGTAAGAAGATAGAGATTAAGGCTGAAAAAGAGGATAAAATGAATGGTGAGATACATATGATGAGGAGTAGGATGAAGTTTAAGCAAATGGATCTGGGAAGAGCTCAAGATAATAGTGATTCGAGTAGTGACTCGAGTGATGAGGGTAATAAGAAGAAGGGCAAAGGACGGGGCAAGTCTAGTGGTAGACGATGTTACAATTGCGGTAAGTCTGGATACTTTATTAGGGACTGTCCCAAGAAAAAGGATAAGCTAAAGGGTAAGATGAGAAGCAAGGCAAATTTAGCTTTAGGATCAAGTGATGATCCTAGCGAGGTTTATTAAAGGCGAATTTAGCTTTAGGATCAAGTGATGACCCTAGCGAGGTTTATTAATGGTAAACCTAGTTACTGCATGTGCATCTGTGTGTGATCATTTTTTGCATGTGTGTGATTGTATAATTTGTTGCATGATTCTATGTTTTATTTAGTATGTTTGATATGTGCATTTGTATGAATTTGAGGCAATATGATTACTTAGTGTAATTGTTTCCGTACATAGTGGGTTATGACATATTACCAGTGTGTTGGATGTTTTTTGGTGAGGTGGAGTATAGATGTCTAAGGATATATTGTGGTTTGTATCGGGGATGTGAAGTGTGACATTTGGATCACGAGCGTAGTGGTGATTAAATGTCTAGAAACCTTTATCTATAAAAAGATTCTGATCAGGTGGAGTGTGAGAGAGACACTTCTATCACTTCCATTAGGTGGAGAACCATTATCCATGTAGGTTGGGTGAAGTGATGTGGTAAGAAAGGATTATCTTGTGAATTTAGGATCTATTGTGACCTACCAGTTAAACATAAGTTGAATGATCAATTTAGTGAGCATGGTGGGTAATGAGAGGAGATATTTGATCTTGAGCAACATGGAATGAGATATGATAAGTGTGGTGAGATTTTTTATGGGGTCATTTATGCACTTGTTGCATATTTGTTTGACCGTATGTTTGATTAACTTGGTATTAATCTGTGGTTTTTTGTGAAAGTGTTTCTAAAAAGATCTATGTGATATCCTAAAATATATTGTTATTGCATATTTATTTGCTTTTGATTGTCTACTGTTGAATATTTGCTTCTACTTGAGTTTTTTTACCTTAGTCTCAGTAAGTACATGGAGCAGGTATGGTGAAACGACCCAAAATTTACAATAAGAATAAATAT